ATTACGTCGGTACACATTTTGGTATGGCTTGATGATGAATGGACGTTTTCATTATGAAATGTTGATCATAGCTTTGTTAACAATCTTACATTCTGTTTCATCTGGTATTACTACAGCCATTCCTATCCTCCTGTGTTTACAGTTTACATGATTTATCTTTTTCTGTCAACATACTTTCAACTCATTTGTGTCTGTATTCAAACTATATCTTGCAGACAACATTCGGTTGAGATTACTGTTTTATAAGTTCTTTCAGTCTCTGACTCTTAATTGGAATATGCAGTTCATAGTCAATTATATTAATGCAGTTGATTTAGGTCTATCATTTCATTATTTTCTGTTTACTTCCTGCATATGTGTATGTGTTTGCTTGCTCACTTTATCTCCTCTTTTTGGTTTCCTTTATATTACTAAATGATTTTTAGAATACCATTTAAGTTTAGCTATTGACATTTTTGCCATATCTCTTTTCTCTAATACTTTAGAGTTTGTATTAGTTATCACAATATGCAGAATTAACTGTTCATGTTTTACTGAGAGACAATATTGTGTTGCTCCATGTAACACATAGAAAGCCTTACAGTGATTTAGGGTCCCTTGCCCCATCATACTTTTAACATTATTATTTTTGCTGTAATAATCATGTTTATTTTAAAGAGATTAAGAGATCAGAGACTTTTATATTTTCTCATGCACTTTCTATTTTTGGTATTCTTCATTCTTCAAGGTCTGAATTTCTCTCCAATACCAACTTTATATAGCCTTCAGAACTTTTTAGCATTTTGTGTAATTTAGACCTAGTAATTTAAAAAACCTTACGGTTTTTGTGTGTAAGAGAAAGGTCTTTGTTCACATTCTGAGTAAAAGATGCAGAACTCTTGGTTGGACATTTTTCTGTCAGTACTCTGTTTCTAGATTCTGCGTTCTTTTTTATGAAAAATATGTGATAATTTTAATGACTATGCTACTGTTGTTTAACAGGTTGCTTTTAAGATTTTTCCTTAATTGTAGTTTCTAGCAGTTTGATTATGATATATTTGTCTTTGATTTTATCCTGTTTAGAGTTAACTGGACTTCTTTAATTTGTAAATTTATGTCTTTGACATAAATTTGACATAAATTATATCTTTAATTATTTAACTTTTACTTCTTAAAATTCTTCTGTTTTTATTATGCTTTCTTCTCTTTGATTCCAGGATTTTTATGTTATATTGTTAACGATTATCCTAATTTCATGAAGGTCCATTTTGTTTTTGGTCTTTATCATCTTTCAACGGATAATTTATTAGAGTAGTTTCCAGTTCATTGACTGCTTCCCTTGTTGTCTCCATTCTTAACTTCATCAAGAGAGTTTATTTTTTTTAATTTTTAATTTCAGGCATTATCCTTTTCAGTTCTAGAATTTTCACTGGGTTCTTCTGTGTAATTCTTGTTTAACTACTTAAGTAACTGTAAGCATATTTTCCTTACCTCTTTGATCATAGTTATGATAGCTGCCTTAAAGTTTGTATTTGAAAATTTCAATATCTGAGTGATATCAAGATTAGTGTTGCTTGATTCTCTTTTCCCTTGGATTACATTTTCCTGATGGCTCAAATGTGAAGTGATTTGGGTTTATAAGCTAAACCTTGTGTGATACTTTGTTGAGGAAACTCTGTTTTGATGAACAGTGAAGTCATGTCCCTGACAGGTAATGGCTCATTTTGCTTCAGTTCCTTAGGCCTTGGCTGCGAACTTCTTTTAGTTTATCCCACACATACGTGTTTTAAATGAGTCTACCAGGGACGTTACCTGAGTTTATAACCGAATCTGGGGCTTCTCTCTGCTTCCTGAATTCTTTTGTTGTTGTTGTTTTCTCCTACCAGAAGGTTGACTTTCTGTTGAATTTTTATTACATCTGATTACATCTGTGCTGCCATGAACATAATTGTGATACTCTGAGGACAAAACAGTAAGCAAACAACAAAATGCAGAGAGAAGTGTGTGTCATTTGCTGCATGCTCCACTTTCCCTCTAAATTGCCTTTGTTAGGTTATTTGTTGCTGTCAGATTATTTTTAATCCAAGTGTGTAGCTATTATTTGCAGTAGGTGCCACTTACTGAATCCATATGTCTCTATACTCGAAGTACAGCTCTCACTCTTTTACCTGTTTGCTTTGGGATTCCAGACTGGTATTCATGAAGTTTTATTTTCTTCTGATCCAGTTCTCACCTGGGAAACAAATTAATTAAAATTAATCCTGGTACTGACCTTTTTCTTAATAGAAGTTGGTTTTAATTCCTTGGAATGACATCCATAGTCCTTCCTAATTAATTGCTGCCTATCTGTGTCATGTAACAAGTTGCCTTTTTGCAATCTATTATGTTTCCACAATTCTTAACTCTCTTTCCCTTGCTTAACTTGAGGAACTGCCATTTTGAGTTAGATTTCCCCTTCTGAGTTTCCTCTGAATATTCTCTGAATCCCCCTGCAATGGCACTTAACACATTATTCTATTATGTCCTGTTCCATTGTCTCCCCAGGAGGGCTGCAAATTATGCCATGTGTCTAACTTTCAACTAACTCCCCTCACCTAATTTCATGTATTGTCTGACATATAGTAGATTTGCAGTAATTTTTTACTGGCTGCATTACAGTTTCATGAGTATAAACTTTTCATTTCTGTGCATCTGTAGGTATCTGATACTTGCACATAGAATTTCTACAAAACAGAACCAGGGACATTAGTGTGCTTGTTCACTGTTGACTGCATACCAACTGGTATATCTTTGTCTTAATTGTCTATGTATGCATAATTTGAAAAACACAGGGAGAGAGATCTCTGTCTACTTTTTCACTTCCCAAATACAATAGTGAAGGCTGAGTCAGCTCAGAGTCTAGCAGGGACCTACCTTCTTGGGCCATCACCCACTGCTTCCAAGATGTGCATTAGAAGGAAGCTGGATCAGAAGCCAAGCCAGGATTCAAGTTCAGGCATTCCAATATGGGATATGAGTATCTCATGTAGCAACTTAACCACTGTACTAAACATCTCCTTAAACTTGTCTTTTAGGCCCCCCTAACTACAGCTACTAGACTTGATGGTTCTGTGAAATTCTAGGGATTGAAGTCTGCCACTGAGAAAAAGAGATGATGGTGGAATCATGGGAATGTCCAGAAAGAGAGAAGGATCCTCCTGCTTTTCTCTTTCCTTTAACATACTGCTAGGGAAAGGTGTGTGTGTGTGTGTACACGTATGAGAGAGAATGTTGATGTCTTCCTTTAACTGCTAGGGAAGGGTGTATGTGTGTACAAATGTATGAGAGAGAGAGAATGTTGATGCCTTCCTGGCAGTAAGCCAGCACTCTTCTTCCGTAGTAAGGATCAGGTGATAGATTTGGAGCCCATAGATCTGTCATAGCTTGTCAGGTGCTAGTGGGTCTGGAATGCATCCCCTTCCTCTACACCCTTTCCTATTTATCACAAGGGATCCACAGACCTTTGCATAATGCAGAATTTGGGTTTGCACCAGAGCTGCTGCTTTGCCCTTTGATATCATTCATTCAAAGCAAGAGCTGCTGAGCTTTAACCCATGTTCTTTCTTTCAGAACATCTGTAGAGCTTTTAAACTTTCCTGGGTGTCTACTGTCTTAGCATAGTATCTACTCTTCAGCTCCAACTTGAAAATAAATTTCATTTTTTTTTTATAATTATGCAAACAACATGCTCAATGTAGAAGACTGTTATACATATTTTAGTGCAGTAAATATTATGTGTGGCCTACGTGCCATGCTTCAGAGAATACAGTCAGGAAGATGACATGGTCATTGTGTCTTAAGAATTTGTCTAGTATTATAGAATAACATGGAGAAGAATTTTTTTAAAAGATTTATTTGTTTTTATTGGAAAGGTAGATTTACAGAGTGGAGAGAAAGATCTTCCGTCCACTGATTTGATCTGAAGCCGGAATCCAGGAGCTTCTTCCGGGTCTCCCACAGAGTCCCAATACTTTTTGGGCCATCCTCTACTGCTTCTCCAGGCCACAAGCAGGGAACTAGATGGGAAGTGGAGCAGCCAGGACAGTGCCCATATGGTATCCCTACATATGCAAGGCGAGGATTTAGCCACTGGGTCATCATCCCAGGCCCCAGAAAAACTTCTTTAAAATCATTTGAAAGTATTAATACACAGAGAGAGCCACTGTGAACGTTTTCTGAAAACATGTTTGTGTGTTTTTGCCCTTTACATTTCAGGCACCATCACTTCAGCTGTTTTCATTTTAGAATCTTCAACTTCCCTGCTCCTTTATCTTTCATTTCCCCCATGGGGCAAATTCCTAATTCCTGAGCATCTAATTATCAGCTCATGTAATGTTTGGCTCTGGCCTGAAATAGAGCTATTTAGAAAGCTAATTTTAATCCCAAAGAGCTAATTCTACTTTATGTGTTTGAGATTCTGAATTTTCCACACCTATGAAATACTAATCATTAAGTTATAGAGGTATTTCCCCACTAAATTAAGTTAATGGACTTGCTCATTTTATAGTTTAATGAGGGGGTGTTAAGAGTTGAGCTGCACCTTTAGTTTACAGTGGCAAAAAAAAAAAGCTGGTAAATATCTAAACACTCGTCAGTAAGAGACCAGTTAAACATATCCATACAGCAGAATATTGTGAGCCAATTAAAAGTTTGTTGACATAGAAAAAGAAAACCTTATCGATGTGGAAAGATGGCTTCAACAGGTTGTTGACTAAGAAAAAAGTAGATTGTAATGTAGATGAGGGAATTTTGTTTTTGATTGTGTGAAATGGATACACATGCTTATATAAATATTCACAGAAAGCTACCTGTAAGGATATAATCCACACCTTTCTTCAAAACACAAGTGCAAGAGATGTTCAGTAGTATGTTATGATATGTCACCATGTCACTAGGGTAAATTAACTAATACACATGATCATACCCATTTGTGGAAGAACATATTTGGTTTACTAAATATGCTTTTTTCCCCTCATCTCTAGAATAATGAACTACAAAGCAGGCTGGACTATTTAACGGAAACTCAGTCCAAGACGGAAGTGGAAACCAGAGAGATTGGAGTGGGCTGTGATCTCCTTCCCAGGTATTTAGGAATTTCCTGTTTTTAGGACTCAAATTCTTCTGACTTAGGAAAATACGTTTGGGCTGTTATTAACAGAATTACATTCTTTCTACCAAAATATTTCTGTGAAGCTAAGTGGTGGCTGCTGAGAAGGTCTGATTGGTTTCCGCAAGAGCAGGGCATTGCGCAGGCAGTGGGGATAGCAAGGCAGAGACCTGGAGAAGCTGCTTCAAGAGCCAGAGATTGGCCCTATCAGTGAGTGTGTGCATTTGTTCATTAGTTTGCTCGTTCATTCTGAAAACAGCTGGTGAGTCCCTTTCCTATGCCAGATAGTTGTGATACCAGGGGAACATGATTCTTTTCCTGGCACAGATGCTGATTATACTATGAGAGGGGCATCCACAGTGCTTTAGTAATATAGACAAGAAAGGGTCCAAATCTTGACCAAAAGTCATCTCCTTAGTACTTTAACAGGGCACTGTCGAGGACTACTTCTGGTTCATAAATATCAGATTCAGTCATTAATGGGTGTATAGTAACTGTGACCTAGTATCCAGTTGCAATCCTGCACTAGACTATCCAACTATTGTTTTGTTTTGTTGTTAGTAGCAAATTTCCCTCCTAATTCTTTATTATTTATTTTATTTTATTTTTGGTGATGTTTATATAGCTGAGAAGGATGCATGCCCATATGTGAAAAGGGTTGAGGAGTAGGGGAAGGCGGACAAGACTATTGTTTCCAATTTTCTTTTTCTTCTTCCTGCATCTGGGGGAAAGGGACAGAGAAGGGAAGAACAGCTTCCCACTTATTCCTTGTCAAGCTGATACTTGACACTCCCATGCCTCTGTCTCTCCCAGGGGAGACTGGAGCCTGTGACCCAGGAACTTGCTTTGAGCAACTCAGTTGCCCTTTGTGGATGCTCACATTTGTGTGGCTTAAAGAGGACAGAAAACAAGTTTATAACTGGGATGCTAATGACATGTGACTTATTATTTAGTATAATCACAATTATAAAGAGGCCTGGTATGCTAAATATAGAAGGAGATTTTTGGGTAAGTCATGGTCTTTGTATGCACATTAATAGACATTAGTAGTCTAGAAAAATGTTGAATCCAGGGACCCTGGGTGGTTATAGAAAGGAGCTGGTTGCTGTGCCACAAGCTGAAATGGGACTACTAACTATGCAGTGCCTTTAGTTGTGATTTTTCCTGCTGAGCTATCAGTTTCCCCGCCTATAGAGTGAGCAGTTTGGCCAGGTAACTTTTCAGGATTCTATCAGCTCTAACATATAAGACCTCATTTCTTTACTGGACTTAATTTTTTAAAAAATTATTTGTTACCAGTGTTGTCCCTTTTGTTCATTAAAACGAGCCATTTACCATTCCCAGAATCTCTGCTCACAGCTACATTAAGCTTTTTCTTTGACAGTGTCTTCACTCACATTGCTTGCTTTCTGGTACAAACAAGGCAATTTTTACCATTTTGATATACTTAACAGAAACTGCTAAAAGAAAAAAAGGGCAAGAAAATATAAATAGACTTCAGGTCTCATCAATATGTGATGCAGAGTATATACTGAAAATATAACAAAGAGTGATTGATCATACTTAGGGAACTCTTTGGAAATGTAAATAATTTGGCCATTTCCCTCCATTTTATTTTTCAAGAACCAAGTGCCGTAGTCCACCCTAATTGCCCACGTAATAAATCTTGTTTGACTAAGTTGGGTACAAAACTATGTCTGAAACCAATAAATTGTTTGTTTTCTAATTCCTACATTTTGGCTTAAAACAAGCTTTTCAATTTGTATGCCCAAGTTTAGCCTGAAGCAAACTTTTATGGTTGAGTTATGAAACCACAAAGCGGTTTTCATAATGGAAGTGCTGACAGACCCTTAACTTATGGCCACGGTGAACTTGGAAGCCACTTCAGTATCTGAAAGGCAGCTTTTCCATAAATGTAGCGTTTGGTTTCCCCTAGGATCCATCTTCACCCTTTAACTACCTGGGTCAATCAGCAGAGGAAATGAAAGCTACATATCCACACTTCCGAAGAGGCAGAATAATATTTCATTTGTTTCTTCACAGCTGTCTATTAAGTGCCTACTATGTGAAAGATGCCAAGCAAGTCTGGTGGTGAGGAGTGCAGGATCGTTGGAAAAAACTCAGGGCAACAATTTTCCACCTATACATCTTGGATTCTCTTTGCTGGGCTTCCTGGAAGGGCTGGGGCTACCTAGGGTTGGGGTGAAGAGGGTTAGTGGGACCTGGGCTGTAGGAATGAATAGAGAAAGACAGTGTTTAGTCTGCTTTGCAGTAAGATTTTGGTTGAATAAAGAGTTCTGTAATCAGGAACAAATTTGGCCCCTCCTGGTCTGGTCACATTTTAGAGACACGAAGATGAAGGTGTAGAGAAAGAAAGTGATTGAGCAGAAGCCAGGCAACCTAGATCAGAATCCGGCCTTCTGAGTTGCTGCAGTACATGTGTAAGCTGAAAATACTCTCGAGAGTTGCAAAAATGTGTTTTGTCTATTCTAACAGAATTCCAGATTCTTACTTGAACTTCTGACTTGCATTTAACTAACAGTGGATTCCAAGGTGTTTTACAGAATATTTTTGAAACATCTTCCTCCAGAATGTTTTTGATTTATCAAAGTATTGAATTAAGCCTCAATTATGCAGGAATGTCTTGTTCTTCCTCTGTGTTCTTCTCCAACAAAAAAACCTCAGTTTTGTGGTCCAACTGGGGAGTCTCAGCTGCCTGAGTGACCAGCACACCAAGCTGCTAGCTGAGCAGACTTTTAGATTTTTACCTAATCTCTCTAAAACCTCAACTCTTTCATCCTTAAAATGGGAATGAAGATGATGATGTTCTATCTCATTGGGTTGCTGTGAAGATTAGACCAAAACACGTTTGTGTACAAAGCACTGAACATGGTAACTAGACAGCAGTTAAGCACTTAATAAAAGGAACTTTTTATGCTGTTAACTAAACTATAACTGATATTACATGTAAAACACTTTATCAAATATAAATTAATTTCACTGTGCCTAAAATAGTCTTGTTGATGTAATGTTTACAGGTGGTAATTAGGGATTTCATGAAATAGATGGAGAGTCAAACATATTGTGTTTCAACATGCACTGGGTTCTTCAGTTGAAGGTTCAGAACTCCTGTCAACACTGTATAAAACTCTAGAAGGCCCAATGATAAACAAGGTCTCCATCTATTGAAACACAGCAGTGTCCTCTGTGTGTTCAGGCATCAGACACACAACTCCTTGTAGAGTACATGGCCTTTCCTACCCATTTCTGCCTACACATGTAAGAGTTACATGCTGTGCTACTGCTTATAGCACTTGACTTAGAACTGTTGCATTCTCTTGTCCTCTTGAAAAAAGAACTAAAACAACCTTTTCTTTACCTATAATGCCATCAATCTCATCTTCAAAACCATCATCACCCATTTTCTTCTGTCCCTGCCAGCACCATGAACTCCAGGGAATTTCCTAATCTAATATTTAGTTGGTACTCAATAAATATTTGTTGTGTGAATAAATGAAAGGTATGCAACAAGCAGGGACTTAAGCAGCCAATTTTTATTGCCATGTGATTTATTTGTTTGATGGAAAGCCTTGGAAGAAGCAATTCTTGCTCTTGTTTTACTTCTTCCGCACTCTTCTTCTCCCTTCTCATTTCCTCTCTTCTGTTCCCCCATCTCTTAAGTTGTTGGAGTGTAAGCTTTGGGAGGGTGGGAATTTTTACCCATTAGCCTAATTGCAATCTTGCTAGGACCCACTCAGAACAGTGTCTGCCACGTCGTTGATAATCAGTAGCCATCTTCCTACAACATTCGACAATGATGCAGTAAATTACCTTGTTTCTTATCCTTGTGGGACTTTGTCTCCTTGTTCTCTCCCTATCTCTGTGCTCTATCCTTCCACATCTCCTTTGAAGGGACCTCATTGTCCTCGAAGATTTTCACCATGGCAGCTCCTTGTTCTTTCTTAGTTACAAGTAAGGCATCTAGTCTCATACCTTTGCTCCCTCCTCTGTGGATGAATCTCACTTGATGTCTGCGTGATTGTCATATTCACCATATGTATAGCTGAGTACATTATCTTTTTTCTGCAAAGTCAATTCCTCTCCAGGCACATTAAGAATACTGGCTTGTGTTGGCATCAGGTGGGCTGGATCAGGGGAAAGCCAGGCTGGGTTGACTGTTCCTATTGGTATGTGCATAAGCCAGAGTGGGTATGGGTTGGTTGGTCTTTGCTGCAGCATCAGCTGGCAGATGTTGACACAGGGGGGGACAAATTCTGTGAAGTTAAACTGCAGAACAACTTGGAGAATGCAAGATCCGGGAGTGGCAGCGGGCCCAGTAGGGAAACAATGGCCACCTCCCTTTGGGTTGCCACTCTGACTGGTGAGCATGAGAACAAGGACGAATGGGGCAGGCATGGCTAGATAGAGTGGCACCCACCAGCAGATGTGTGGGCTGGATAGTGGGACTGGTTGGGTTGAATTAGGCTTCAATGGCTCATTGACATGTATGAGAGCTGAATGGGATGTGGGACAGACTGGACCAGTCTGCTGCACATACTGTCAAGCACAGGAACCAGGGCCGGGGTTGGAACTGGTGGGGTTATTATGGGTCGCTCCTACTAGGCTGCAACTTCCACTGAGTGTGTGGTGGGCAGGATCGGGTTGGGCTATGACACTCATTGGTTTGTGTAAAAGACAGGGTTGGAGACAACTGACCCAGCAATTGACCCGCCACCAGCATGTGTATAATCTGATTGGGGCAATGAACTGTGTTGGACCCTGTGTTGGCAAGTACACACAAGAATCAGGTCTTGGATCAACTCAGACGAGGTTTCTATGGGGGATCCCCCAACTGAATTGCTGGACTCAGAACCCCAACCATGGAGAAAAATTGCAGCTTCCATGGTCTGACTGTGGAATACAAGTGTCAGAGTTGACCCTGTTGGCTTAGACAGAGCAGTGGACAGTATATCCAG